TATGTTGAATGTTTGTCTGTGATTTGTGCATATCGAGATCCTCGTGGGTTCCAACAAAACCAAACCGTTACAACACGATTCGGTCATTTTTCGGTTTCTATGGATATTTATGCAATAACCGAACCAGTTATTTTGATTCGATTTCGGTTCCTGAAAATTATGCTAGGAACAGGACCGATCCAGCCCTACAAAAATACATTAGAAAAGGGTTTCTTGGTTAACAAGTATTAGGTAGCTATAAATATGTGGTTTTATTTTTAGGGTTTTATATGTTTGGTGTAGTTTTCTTATCCAACAATGGCGCCTCATCTAAAAGCTGTTCAAAAATCAACCATGACCGATCAAATACGAAAATCATTATGTGAGTATAATTGATCACCCCACAATCACTCAAAAAGAATTACAACAATGGCTCGATAATATATGCTTGCTCTCCAACATTTCGCAGGCCTTGCTTAGTGTCACCTAAAGCTGTCAAAACGGGCCATAGGGGCGGGCTGGCCCGCCATTTTGGCGGTCAACGAAATGTCGGCCCAACCCGTCCCCGCCTCGGGCCGCGAGTTCGGCGAGCCTGGCCCGCTAGAAAAAAAAACATTAAAAAAAGCACAATTCACAAGCTCTCAAAAAAAATCTGAAAAAACACACTCAATTCCTAAAATTGCATGAGAAGAAAAATCACACTTATTTCACAAGCTCTCATTCACAAATTGTCTAAGGGAGAAAAATAAAAAACTTTTCAAATCTCTCTCATATTAATGCCACAATCCACTAAAAGAGACACAGACCCATTTTCGCCCTCCACCTGGCAACCACCTCGCAGTGGTCGCCACCTCCCTAGAGCCCGTCGAGGAGCGCTTCATGGGAAACGCCGGGGACCTCCCCCATCTGATTCGCCTGCGAGTAATTTGCCATGGTTTGACCAAATCCAACCTTGGAGGTGAAGTTTAATGTTGTCATAAGGGGGGAGATCGGAGAGTGAGATTCGGTCTATTTCGTGGGTTGAGGGGATGGCGGGGAGGAACCGCTTTGTTGTCTTGAGATACGAGGATTTGGAAGTAAAATGAGGTTGGGCATATTTTTTATTTATTTTTTGTTCTGGCTTAACCCTAATCCCTAAGGACCCTAACCCTTACTTACATATTTTTTAGGAGTTTTTCAATACAAGACCTAGTAAACTATCAAATCAGGGCCTAAAAGATTATTTTTCTCAATTCAGGGCATAAAATTATAAAACTATCAAATTAAGTCATAAAGTTAACAAAACATATGACACCATTAAATTGAGAGTTAATTTGAAGTTTTAAAACATGATTTGTTACAAAAAAAAAAAGAAAAAAAAAAAAGAAAAATGAAGAAAATCAAGGAAAATACGAGATTGTTATCGGAAAAAATTAATGAAAATATGAAGCTCTTGTTCATTTTTCTTGGTATCGTCTATTTCTGTTTTTTATTTTTCTTTTTTGAAATATTATGTGAATTTAGTAATTTACTTATAATTTTATGTGATTAAGCACCAATTTCTTTTTAAAAAAAATTCAATTTAATGGTGTTATGAGTTTTGTTAATTCTATGACTTAATTTGATAGTTTTACAACATTTCAGTCCCGAATAAAAAAAAAATCTTTCAAAACCCGATTTGATAGTTTATAAGATGATTGGATATAAATTTTTTTGGTTTTGTTTGAATTTTTTTATTTGGTTTGGTTAATTTTTAAAAAGGTGGTATAGTTAGTTGTTAGTGGGTGTATTAAAATAATATTTAAAAAAATAATTAAAGTTGATTTGATATAAAAAGTAAGAGAGAGAGAGAAGTTGAAGTGATGGTTTGTTAAAATTATGTGGATTCCGGATTAGTCGGTCCTACCCGGCTCGATTCCAGATTAGTCGGTTCCCCTGTGGATCCGGAAAACCGGAAGGTCCTGTACAAAAAAAAAATAAAAAAATTATGTGAGTGAATGAATAGTAAATTAAAGATGAAGTGTTGTGTAAGAATGATTGATTGATATCCCCTCTATATTAGAACGCGCTGAGCCTACGTGGCTGCTTCTGGTGCTTCACAATCCTATGTGGCAAAATTACATGCTTCGTTATTAGGCTTGGATGAATTTTAATTTAATTCCAAACCATAAAATAATTAGGTTCGGATTACCATAAATATATTGATTATTTATGGTCATGTTACATGTATTAATTGTATTTTAATATAATTCCTTATTATAACTATTAAATTGTACATATATTTTAAAAGTTAATAACTTTTGTATTTTTTATCAGTTTTACATATGTAATATATCGAATTAATCTTCTTTTGATGAGCTTCGATTTAACATCCATATTGTATGTATAAAAAAAAGAATTTATATTTATCTTTATAACAATAATAAAATTATTGTTAATATTAATTAGAAAAATAAAATTATTTATCAGCTAATATATTATATTTCAAGTAGTTATATGATATAAGTTATAAAAACTATTATAATATAACGCATGTAAGTCATAAGTAACACATATCATTCTAAAATATATAGTAATATATTTTGATGATGAA